ATGCCAGCATGTGTACAATTTGTCAAACCCATTCCCGGAGCCCCAAATGGATCTACACCTGATACAGCAAAGTACATTCTGCCACAATCTTGTGGAATGCAAGTTCGGTGGGTGATTGAGCCCTCAAAATGACAGATTGTCAGAGTAATTGATACACGTTGACAAACGGACCAATGTCTCTTTGGTTCCTAGCTTGGACCGAAGTCTTGGGCTAGCCATGCCACTGTATCTGAAAATGGACAATATGACTGATATAAATGCAGGAGCGACCCGTCACCTTCAGTAACTCTTCATGTCTCGACATCCTACGGTTTCAATCTACCCCAATGGGTGGTGTGTCTCATTGGACAGCTCAACGTTTTGCCACATATAACGTTATTATGGGGACCATGACTGCATGGTGAAAGAATACCAGTTGAACTCCCTTCCTATAGAACGTGTACTTGGTACATGTACTTCAGGTGTCCAACCGCTATAATATTGCTAAAGCGGCGTAAAACCACACTCACTCATCCGTGTATCTAAAAGACTAGACCCGTGAAGGGCCGGGTTAGAATGAATCTTCAGTAACCCATGCTTGTCGTAAGAGGCGACTAACTTGATCGGGTGGTCAGGCTCGCTGACTGGGTTGACACATGTCATCGGTTCCCAATTGCGCAGATCGATGCTCATGCTGTTGATCACTGGATTGTCTGGTCCAGACTCGATTATTTACAGACCACCTCCATATAGCTGGAATGTTGCTGAGTGCGGCGTAGAACTCAACTCACTCACTCACTCACTAAAATACTGTTCCAAGGCTAAGGGTCGGTGTGCAATGTAGAACTGGTTCGTTTAAATGATCGCATGGTGACAATCACTGGATTGTCTGGTCCAGGCTCGTTTGATCGTACAGATGGAATACTGCTGAAACAAATACATACTCGTGATATAGTCACAGTTGTACAATCGACACTGCTTTTAGCAGACATTTCTTATGGTCACGACAGACGTCCCCGAGTGAATCACCCGTCGCTGATCACATGCAAGTTGGTGTCCTGTATTCGAACGTGCAATTTAGAGCACGTTCGGTAATCTCGACCTCGAAGATGTGTCACCCGCGAGTCACCCCGGAACTAAAGTGCTGTATCCGTTGTCCGACAACGGCTGCTATCGCCGTGAAATGATAAGGACACACAGTAGTATATATATAGTGACTGTAGTATGAATCACGTGTGACCTTGGAGGGACGTTGGATTGTGGTGTTGTATAGAATATTGTCATCGGGATTAACGGTAATTGTGGCAGTGACTGAACACAGCCATCCACCATATAATACAGGTTGCTGTTTCCTTACAAACAGAGATAAAACAGTTTATCTTTGGAACTTACTATGAGAATGAGTGAGTATATGGTTTGACGCCGCTTTTATCCAATATTCCAGCAATATCACGGCGTGGGACACCAGAAATGGGCTTCACACATTGTACTCAGGTGGGCGCGACGAGCAAACGCTCTAACCACTAGGCTACCCCACCGCCCATCTTACTATAAGAACAAAACTTTGGAAATGTTTTTGCAGAAGTGATATTATTTTCTCTATGAACCCTTGTAATGCACTTTAAGGGTGAAGCGTACATATCATCCACAGTCTGTTGTAGATTTTCTGAAGCCAAAAGACACACATGCCAAACAAACTATATTCCTAAACATCTAAACATAGCTATACAAGGAAAACATAACTATCAATATCGTGAAACGGCAGTGTATTCAAAATGAGGTTAGTCTATTATGTCTATTATAGACTATTATGACCGTTCAAGACCAGTGTGGAGCGGTGGGTAGCCTATTGGTTAATGCGTTCGCTCGAAACGCTGAAGGCCCGGGTTAGATTCCCCACATGGATACAATGTGTCTAGCCCATTTCCGATTTCCCCGCCGCCTTGATGTTGCTGAAATATTGCTAAAAGTGGCGTAAAATCCAACTCAGTCACTCACTCAAGACCAAGAAACAACCATTTTGAGGGTACCTACTAGACTAACATCTAGTCTCTGAAATGAACATATTTCACAGAAGAAACCAACTGATCATAAAAAAATCATAAAATGTAATAAAAAGGAGCCCAGTGACAAATAGCCAGCCTTGCCACATATTCTAGACTTGCATGAGCTTTCTTGGATGTATTTCTTTCAGGGTCTGTATGGGACTAGGTAAGTACCAGAAGAAGTGACTACCAAGAGAAGGCTCGTGGAGCAGACCCTCCATCAAGGAAGAGAGAGTGAGTTTAGTTTTACGCCGCATTCAGCAATATTCCAGGAGTTCTGTAAATAATCCAGTCTGGACTAGACAATCCAGTGATCAACAGCACGAGCATCGATCTATGCAATTGGGATACGATGACATGTGTCAACCAAGTCAGCGAGCCTGACCACCTGATCCCGTTGGTCGCCTGTTACGACAATTTAAGCATGAGTTACTGAAGATAAATTCTAACCCGGATCTTCACGGGTCCATCAAGGAAGAGGAAGAATGTGTGATGTATAGCAACATCAGCACCAGACTGGGCGGAACCTGGAAACACTAGTCAACATCATGGAAGCCAACGACAATCTGAACCTAAACTGAATTCGCTAGTATTCCAGCTAATGTTTGCTTCACTTTGACCAAGTATAATTCCATTTGTCTCTAATAAACAACACCACTAGCTCAGCACTGCTTTCAATGGCCTCCGTCCTTTCTTACTCCAGCTGCACGAGCTTCATCAAAAGATGTCCAAGTGCACGTTAGGATCAAGTATACGGTACTTTATTGACTTATAATCTAACAAAGAAATGAAAGAGAAAAAAATAAACTACCCTCACTCAATATAGTTACGGGAAACAATAATGTTGTTTTACCTGTGTTAAAGGTAAAGCCTTATGAATACCAGCTGTCGAGTGAAATGGGCAATTCTACGTGCGCCTGTATCTATCGAGCTTAGGTCAGGCTAACCCATGGTTCGTCCGATGAGCACCGATCAGTGCCACCGGAGCATACAATGACAGTCAGTCAGGCAAGTCACACGCACACACACCTGCCCACCTTCATTAATCTACTCTTAAAAGACAGGGATGGGCAGTCAATCACTATCTCTCTCTCTCTCTCTCTCTCTCTCTCTCTCTCTCTCTCTCTCTCTCTCACACACACACACTCCACAAACACACACGTACACACACTTTTACATATGATAATAAAGATGACAAGGGTATAAGGTAAATACATAAAGTGAGTGAGAGTTTCAATGAAATATGACATAATTAAGTTTACATGAGTTAGCGAGGTAATAATAACAATAATAGTCAGTTTGTATTGCTGTTTGTCATGCTCACTGTCAGACTCACATACCTTTTGATAAAAATGTTCAGTCGAAAGCTTGATGAAAGTAGTAGCCTACATATAGGAACGTAATCAATGCTTATTTCTAAAAACAATTTCCTAATAGTCTTCACAATTCTCCAGAATATCAAAATGGGAATCAATTATGTATCCACTTTTGAAAACATATTTCTTTTGAAAACATATTAGAAAGTAAACTTGAACTCGTGTGTTCAATTCCAGGTTACTGCTCACCGTACAGCCTGTACATACCCAGAACAGGCATCAATATTTACGTGTTCTGTTTATTCTTGAACACGTATGTGACAAGTAACGCTTCAATAAACAATTTAGCAACTCGTTCTAAACTATATACGTTAACGTATTATACAGCCTGCATAAAGCTCGGAACAGGGAGTACAGTAAACAGTTATCAGCCATGCATGCAAGTGAGTTTGTCATGCGGTGATAACTTCACTGAAGCCATCCAGCAGCCAGATGATGGATGCAGAACCGTATAAATCAGCTGTTGCATCTGCAGATTGTACACAAGTACAGTTTGTAGTGAAATCGCGAAGAGTGACGGTTAACAGTTGTTGCTCTACTTATTGAAAATGCTCCATATGAGCCCGAATGATTCCTTTCGGGTGTAGCAAAGGCCATTTACGTTTTAAATGATGGGCTGTATTTTATGTTAATATGAATGCTTGATAAATACAAAATATTGTTATACAAAATAATACAATAATAATATGAGTTAAGTTGGGTTCAGAACCACCTTGTGTACCACATGTCTCCTCAGATCAGGATCCGCAGATCTCATGCTAATTTTTACTTCGACGTTAGTTGATACTTTGTCAAAACAAACCACCCCCTCTCATTTAATATGTTATATGGCGTGAGACTGTTTTTAAAACACTTAACTGTCGTTATTGCGATATTTAAATACATTCACGGGTACTGTGAAATATACAGAACAAGTTATTCATACTTTCAACGCTTTACTATCTGTCGTTTATCTTTATCAGAGAAGAACATGTCGAACCGATTAACATTATGACGTGTTTTAAGAATGGCCTACGACTGACGTAACTAACGGCACAACTACCTAGATATTATTTCTCACTGAAAGCATGTAAGAAAAAGAAAAAATCTTTCTTGGTGACCAAACAGCGGTGACATGTTCAGGAAAACTTTACTCCTTTTTGGGACTATGTTCTATGTCATCGTTTAAAAGAGTGTGTGGTTACTGGGATTTTACGTACGGTTTGTATAACTCTGCGCTGTTGGTCCGTGTAGTGATAAGATTATAACGTAGGCGTTATCATCACTGTAGGATAAATGCATTTGATGAGCCTTGTCATGAGGAAGTGGATCTGTTTCACGTGTGAATAATGCAGCTGTAAGTAAGTGGCATGTAGGCCTTCGAAATCGAATGAATTTATTATTCAAATGACGTTCAAGCTCCATACAACGCATATTCTACACTCACACTGCCAGAAGTTATATGTGAAAACATATGTCGTAATATAGACGGAAGTGTTTTTGCTTTCAAATTAATGCATATAGCATAGATATAATTCTTGTGTGTTCAAACAACAGGAAATATGGTGTATATGTTCTAATATATTAAAGTATGTTCTTACATCACAGACACTCAGGCCGGCTTTCTCACGACTTACCAGAAACAGACATCTGAACTTGCACAATTAAACTCCAGCTGAGGGAGGGTGGCATAAGATACTAAAACCCTCGCCTCGGTACTCAGGATGGCGACGCAGTGGAGCAGTGAGCATTTCGTTGCCGAATATCGAGACATTCAGGTTGTCAACATTTTATTTGACTGCACATGACGTAACAGTACAGTGTGCCATTTCCGTAATGTCAGCACCCCAAGAAGTTCCCAATAAGTTTTATTGCTTTCAGACTATTTTAGTTTGACATCCAGCTGTGATGATCAGTTTTGCTAATTAGTTGCCAATGTGTAAGCATTAGCTTGGTTCGAACATTTAGGCGACACTTTTGTCACATTTAGAAAACAAACATTTTCTTATGTGCAGTTGCCCTTTTGGTGCAAGGCAGTTATGATGATACATCTTTCACTTACTGGTCATCAACCACTAAATATGGATGTGTGCAGTTAGTGCCCAGTGACACATTTGCAGATTATGTGTCTTTGTGATTCAATAATGGTCAGAGATCATAAAAGGGAATTTACAGACTGATACTATTATACGTGCCTTCTCTTAGATGGTGAGGCCAGTTAGTATGGCGTGCAACAATATGCAGTGATATTATATATATCGACAAACTGTTCGATATTCAGTACATATTGACATGCACCAGAATAATGACACAAGCACACGGATATGATGAACTGAAATACTCAAGTATTTCAGATTAGTGAAAATGTGGCAACAGACTGCATCTTTCTTACCTGTTCTGAGTGTATGAATATGATCCCACACATTACACTTCTATGACACAAGTGGCCTTCCAAGCTCACATTTATCTCTGTTGTGTTTGCCTTTGTTTGAGTCAATACAGTTTTATTCCCACTCTTGGTATCGCTCAGCATCATGTTAATATAATACTAATATATAATGATTACAATGGTTGAATTTCCTTCACTCATGCTTCAGATATATGGCATATGTTTTATTCATAAACATACGTTGGGGTGTGAGAACTGATTCATCCATCTGTCCACTATGTTTAAGCTGCTTGTTTGTTTATAATAAGCTGCCAGTTTGTTTATAATATTTTAATAACAGAGCAAAAAAAGAAAAAAACTAAAGCCATGTAGATCATCAACAGTAATACCTTTGCTTTGACAGGATTTATTTGTTTTGATACAGTTGTTATTTCATAACTGTTTTCATTGAATGATCTACTTCCTCTCATGGTTTTGCATTTTTGAGCCAATAAAAAATAGTGGACAAGGTGCAGCCATAATAGTGATCAGATATGCAGATATATCGTGGCCAGAGACACCTAATGTATATTGAAAAAGGTCATAGGTAGACCGATTTATTAGACTGATATAACTTTCATGATACAAGCCAGACATTTTTGTGTCCCACAGGATCCACAATATATATTGTTTGCATCCAATCAATTATGCATAAAGGATGCAATACCATCTGGTAAAACCAAGGGCTGACTATCAATATGTAGCATGGAGGTCAATAATCATTAAATAAATATATCATCAATTAATTATCGATGAATATCATAACTTTGAGAAACAATGCCCCCAAAATCTGAAAGAAATGAATATATTTCACATCACTTGTGAGTTGTAACATGTTTTGCAGGGATTACTAACAAAACATCATCCTGAACATAATTTAGAAGCAGACCATGAATAAAGTCCTAAATTTGTATGTTGTGTGAGAATATTAAAGCTTGTATCTGTCACAAAACTTAATGTACGATATTATCGATAACACTCTTTTATTATGGATAACATTAAGAATTTTCCCTATGAACGATATTTCCAATTTTCATTATCATTTTATCCAGCTGTAGTAAAACCATGTTTCTGGAAATGTGTTATTTCAATGGACACGGATATTGTCACTCTGCTTGACCTTGAAATACCTGGTTATCAAGTGGCTACTGCATGATCAACCATGTCTGGACACATCTCTGAAAAGCATGTACAACAATGAAGGAATAATATGAAGACATATGGCTTATCAATATTATCTTAGCTCACCTGTTATTCAAACATTATTTACCATTCAGACCAGTCAAAAGAAATGTAGAATCCTTAATTTTGTATGGCAACCTCAACCTGTAAAACATTATTGTTTTGATAATATGTCATCGGTATAGCTCCAGTGAATTGATTTATGAAAGAACATTATTAAGCCAAAACAGTTAATGTTCACACAGTAACTACTAGTAATTACATTCTCCTCCCACAATATCAATTCTATAACATTTCGCTGTCGTGATATGCCTGGAATATTGCTAAAAGCGGTGTAAAACCTCTCTCACTCACTCACACACTATAACATTTCTATGGACAATTCTATAAACAATGATTAACTTAATAATCAGTATGGAAAGTGTGTATGTGTATTGATGATGGAACACATTGTACAATGACCAGCCATGTATCAAGTGGTTGCCCACATTTATCTGCAGCTGTTTGATAGTGGCACCTTTCTGACTAGCACAACCATGCCTAGGTGAAAATCCATGTTTAACAGATACTGTATTTTGTTTGCAGGCCAACGCCATGGCTGTGGACACTGTCGGTGAATGGGCTCTGTTAGGGGGGTAAGTGATGTGGCTACAGGTAGAAGCTTGTAAGTTCCCTGTAGATGTATGATAGTCAGAGCTGCTGTCTTAGTGGTTGTCTTTATGACGATGTGGAATTTTACCAACGATTTACTTTCTATTCGAGTTTACTTATTCATTAGCACATGAAGAAATAAGACTGACTATCTGACTCCCAGTGACCATGAATAGTTCACCAGTAGTTGTTGACGTAGATGAGGGTTTGCATCAACATGATCAAGGCTACAGAATTGGGAGCCTTGTGGTGTCTGTACACAACTCATGGTGTCTGTACACAACTCATGGTGTCTGTACACAACTCATGGTGTCCATACACAACTCATGGTGTCAATACACAATTCATGGTGTCTGTACACCACACATTACACAACTCATGGTGTCAATACACAACTCATGGTGTCCGTACACAACTCATGGTGTCTGTACACAACTCATGGTGTCTGTACACAACTCATGGTGTCTATACACAACTCATGGTGTCTGTACACAACTCATGGTGTCTGTACACAACTCATGGTGTCTATACACAACTCATGGTGTCTGTACACAACTCATGGTGTCTGTACACCACACATGGTGTCTGTACACCACTCATGGTGTCTGTACACAAATCGGCATGTACTGCATCTTGTTCAGTCTATACAATAAGTTAATGTATCACTAACAATTTCCAGACTTTTTTCAATTTCAACCTTTGTTTCATTCTGGTTTGACATGAATGTGTAACCATGGTAACTATCTGACAGTATTTTTTCTTACTTTTATGCTATTGTTATTTCAATTTTATGTGTAATAGCGCAGTAGATAGTAGAGAGTGCTGTATCTTGTCGTATAATATGCACATTTTACTCCCCAAATTGAGTCTGTTGTACCCATTGCTAGTGCACATCTCTCTTTCACTAATCCTATATTGTACAAATACATAACAATAGTTTTTTTAAAATACATGCTAGTATTTACATTTGATTGGGGAAGGTAGCTGTCTACACCTTGAATATACTGTGCCTGTAGCCTTCACATGAACTTTCCAGCTCCCAGCTTCCTTCCCCTGGATGTAGGAACTTTACATTATTGAGGACTTCCGGGTACCTCAGGCTATGGTGGTGTGAATAGAGTGTCTGCGGGGAGAGCGAGTTCAATGGTTCTATCCCTGACAGAATCATACCAAAGCCGTTAAAACATGGTCCTTGGCTCTAAGCTTAGAGGGTAGAAAACAAGGACTGGAAGGCGCTGAATTCTGTGTTTTAGGGGATATACATGTTAAACTGAATGTGGTATGGTATCTCAGTGAGCCAACACTGTACCTAAAACTGACGTAAAACTGAACTTATACAAGCGAGACTACACGAAACACACAAGTGTGAATGCAAATCATTATATAAGTGAAGTTATAATGACCATGACATTTAACTTCATTTAACCACACCAGCATGTCATTTTGAATTTGGTGGTTAGAATGAATGCTATAGTATGCATGCTAATAATAAGAAGAAGAATAACAAGGCCACTTATGTTGCACTAATCTCAACGCCAAGGGCATGCTCTAAACGCATACAACATGATGGACATATTATCCTGGTTAACCCAAACTGCCTGTGAGGCGCTAGAAGGTTCACAGTCATATGACTTATCCCACCGGGTACCCATTCACTGCTGGGTGAACAGAGACAGTTTTGAAAAAAAAACTGAAGTGCATAAGGTGAGACCACATGTATTACATGTGCTTCATTGTGGGGCAGGACTGAAGTCCTAGAAACTCTCAGGAGTCAAGCTGCCAAACACAGTCGCCCATCCAAGGGCATTTGCGATCAACGTTGCTTAACGTCAGCTGATTTGTGACCTGGGCTCTATGTACAAGACTACACACCACCATGCTCAACAACAGCTAGCCCATATTATATTTTTTGGAGTTCTTTCTTTGTGGCTTGAAATTGGAAGGCTTAGTGTCTTGCTCTATTGTCTATGGAGGCATCCCAGATAGAAGGATGTCAACATACAGATGCCCAGCTTCTTGCGCAATTGACTCTCAATAATCAAAAAAATACATCACTGGCATACTGTACCCCAAAAGACCAGAGACATTCAAGGGCAGGAAGTTTCCAGAGAATCGCCCATGAAGATCCGGGTTAGAATTGAGCTGCAATAACCCATGCTTGTCGTAAAAGATGACTAACGGGATGGGTGGTCATGCTCACTGACTTGTTTGACATATTTCATCGTATCCCAATTGCGTAGATTGATGCTCATGCTGTTGATCACTGGCTTGTCTGGTCCAGACTTCGATTATTTACATACCGCCGCCATATAGCTGGAATATTACTGATTGCAGCGTAAAACTAAACTCGCTCACTCACAGAGAAATCACTCCAGCCTTTCCAGTGGATGTGGTGTTCAGGTGCACATGGAGCTGGTCACACATTACAACCACACGGTTCTCATCAACTTGATTAACCTGTGCTAATGACAAACTTTTGGTTCTGGAGACATTTTGTATCATGCAGTTCCCAGTGGGAGAAGTTGATGTGGAAAACGATATCGACAAAAACCCACTCTTTGGAGGAACAGTGAACTGAATGGGGTATATATTACCAGTCTATTGGTTTGCCGCTTGCACAGTGGTTTGACAGGTTTGACTTAGCAAATGTTTATTTTCCCAATGCATTGTAGGTTGGAGATTTCAAGCATGCTTTCAATTCTGTGTTTGTTTAGGCTGGAGATGATGGAACAAGCTCCAGTCATGTAACATTGAATCATTCTGATCACGTGTTGTGATTTGTATGAGCTAGTTGATTTGCTTGTCAACATATACAACCTGACTCACTGGGAGCAACCATGTTGACATAATATTTCATGTCATCATTCACCATCTCACTATTGTTTCTGCTCTCTCAGTGTCAATGCTGGGCCTCCACCGGTGGGTCACAGCATAAACATACATGTCAAAACAAATTCAATTCACTTGATACAGATCTTTTCAACATGTGCCATTAGCATGGGTGGAGGGTTTTACAAGCTAAATGTTGTCACACACCCTGAGAGTGTTGAGGACTCGTAAACCAGTGCTCTCCCATGAGGGGACATCTGCACCTCATAACTACCAACTCGGTACTGACATGTTTTATTTTTAGGGCTTTAACTGATGCTCACTTGAGGCAAAACAAATGTGATTGTTAATATTCGTGTAATGTCTTAAACAAATCATGTTTTCTGGTAACGGACAATCTCAGTGCTCATTAACGATAAGCCATGGATGATATTTACTACCAACATCTCTCATCAATCTGTGCTATAAGCATAGGGGGCTACCGGCCCTAACATGTCAGCAGCATTTCCAGCAGCTTTTGTTTTATTTGACCAAACCAAAGTTTACTTTACTGATGTCACCGAAGAATGAAGCAGGAATATCATTATTGGGAAGTGTTTGAAAATTCATTGTTGATCAGTGGTTTGGAAAAGCAACGGTTGGTTGATTGTTGATGAACACACACACATAATCATTTTTGTCTTTAAATCACTGATTCAAAGCCAAAAAATAAAGTAATTGAAATACATTACTACACCCTGCAAGACAAACTTGTCTACTAGCAAAAGGACTTAATTTTTCCTGTTTTAGTTTTCATGGGTACTGATAGAACACACATTTTATTATTGTGTCTTTAGAAAATGAAACAAATCTTTAATAAAGTCATTTGATTGGAACAGCATGGGGTATATTTGTTTTGTTTTTGTAAATTTATATATATTTTATGGCTAGTAAGAGGAACACAATCATTTTGCAAGTAACAGTCACAATAACATTCTGAAACATAAAAGCGTGTCGGTGTTTTTGCTGTACTGCATGTGTTTTAAGTTTGAAAAGTAACTAAATCATTTCTTACTCATCCTACAGGTATCAACATTAAACCCCATACAAGACACCTGGTGTTAGGATGTATAGTAGTGGTGTTATTACCATCACATACAAGACACCTGGTGTTAGGATGTATGGTAGTGCAGTGTTATTACCATCACATACAAGACACCTGGTGTTGGGATGTATAGTAGTGCAGTGTTATTACCATCACATACAAGGGTGTTGGATGTATAGTAGTGCAGTGTTATTACCATCACATACAAGACACCTGGTGTCGGGATGTATAGTAGTGCAGTGTTATTACCATCACATACAAGACACCTGGTGTCGGGATGTATGGTAGTGCAGTGTTATTACCATCACATACAAGACACCTGGTGTTGGGATGTATGATAGTGCAGTGTTATTACCATCACATACAAGACACCTGGTGTCGGGATGTATGGTAGTGCAGTGTTATTACCATCACATACAAGACACCTGGTGTTGGGATGTATAGTAGTGCAGTGTTATTACCATCACATACAAGACACCTGGTGTTGGGATGTATAGTAGTGCAGTGTTATTACCATCACATACAAGACACCTGGTGTTGGGATGTATAGTAGTGCAGTGTTATTACCATCAGTCAGCAGAATGAATATCACACCCACCCCACACTATTGTAAATGTGTGTCACATTCCTGGGCCAAGCAATGGCGACTGTACATCTGATATACTGAACATCAAGAGCATCCTCCAAAACTCTGAAGCCTAGTGGTTAAAGCGAAAGACCCGGGTTCAATTCTCGACATGGGTACAATGTGTGAAACCCATTTCTGGTGTCCCTCGCTGTGATATTGCTGGAATATTGCTAAAATTGGCGTAAAGCTAACCTCACTCACTCACAGTACAGTACAGTAATGAGACAGGCCTTGGTGGTCTGACTCAACATGTCAGATACTCAGGAATACGTGTTATACTGCAACAAAGTTGTTTTGATGTTCATGTACAGTTCACGATTTGCAGAATGTGGCTTTATAAGTATTTGGCAGAGTGGACATGTTATACAACTTGCATGTTACACAGGCCATCATTGGTAGGAGTTGTCACAGTGTGCATTAACCTGTGAGGGAGGCTCCATACA